CCCCAAAACCCCAAAACCCCGTCAATCTCAAATAGCAAGTAATTAATTATTGTTTAAATTGATAATAATCTCAAGTATTTAATATAATTCCAAAATATCGGTTTACACTTAATTACCGCAAAGTCAAAAATCTTCAACTTCTAATACTTAATTTTAAGGATCATCTAATTTATACCCTATTTAAGATTCTTCTATATCCTAAATATTGTTGCCTGAAGTAAGTGCAGGGTTGCCTAAATGATAGGCAGCATGACCCATTGTTACTTCATCATCTTCGCCAGAGTAACTGTTCATTGAAATATCCTATTGGTTTTAGTCAAAAGTCTAGCTATGTAATTCATTCTGGTCTGTTTGTTTTAAAAGTCCATCAATAGTAGAATTCATGTGATAATCAGTTATCTAGAGGTCTTAATTGGCTTAGATTTAATTCGGCTCAATATGATATGTAATGTCACTTTCAAAGTTTTATTCATATTGATTAATCAGATTTAAATTGCTAGTCCTATTTACATTAGAATAGGTTACATTATTAGAATATTTATTCGACTTGATGTCTTAAAAGGTTTTACATTAGCTTTATTTATTCTAAGGACTTTTTGTATTAACACTTAACTACTAATCAACTTTTGTATCATTAATTGAGTTTGAATCTAATATGTATTTTTTAACAAGACTCTTTTAGTTAATCCCTTATTATCTTTTTTAGATTTTTTTCTTTATTAAGGTTATCACTGAATAAATACATGAACCTATTAAGTTAAGCCAATTCAGAAAAATATTTGCGCATGTAACCCCCACTACATACCATCCTATATTATATCTCAATTCATAGTCAGTTATAATGTTCAAGGCAAATGGAATCAATAAGTAAGAGAGGCATATTATAGTGAATTCATTAAAAAACTCCATGATAAGTATTTTTCTTGAAATCTAAGGCTTAAATTGTATCATAAAGATTATTATCCAAAATGTAGAAAGAATCTGGAGGAACATTTATAAAACAGTTGAATCTTTTAATACAATGATTGAAATTGCGAGTATCAATCTTCTCACTATAAATAATGTTATAAATATTACTGTAGATTTCTTAGTGGGCTCTAAATTCAAATATAAAGTTCCATATTTGCTTAAGAACTTTTGTTAAGTTAGAATTGCAAAGTTGGTCGATAGAAATTGATATGCTATAAACGGTATGCTGAAAATACAAAAGCTCATGATAAATGTCATAAAAAGGTTCAAATTTAAATTATCGGAGGTAGTCAAACTAATCAATGTAGCAACAGCAAATCCTAGGTATCCTTTCATCACAGCTCTAATGAAGGAGTTGAAAAATAACTTTGATTCAATAATAAGCAATACCTTTTAGATTCTAAAGTAAGTATTCAACAAAATAAAGAGGTAAATTACATTAGATATTTTTTTATAGAATATTTCAATAAAACTAGGAATCCAGAGACAATAGCCAGCAAAATGATTCCTATAAATAAAGTCCCTAAATTTTCAAGTAATATGTTATTTTCGTAACTTATAAAGTTTAGGAATAAATAATCCAAAAGCAAAATATAATCAAAAAGATATCCATTGTTTTAAAATTTCCATTCATAGATTTGGTTGAATCATCATAAAATGAAGCAAACACTTGCTTTAAGTATGATTTTGGAATTAGATTCATCTTTGAAATCTCGATTACTTGAGAAAACATAAAAATCGTATTAGAGGGAAGCGGAATGTTTAATAGAGGTATGTGAACCATTATTTGTAAGGTGTTCAAAAGCATCCAGAGATTTTTCAGAGAAATTCCCATGATCATGCTTAAAATAAAGTTTATTGAAATAGCTCCACTTAAAGCATTAGAAGAGGCAGTTGCAGCTGAAAGGAGAAAAGTCGTTCCGTCTATAAAGTAAAGTTAACTTTAATAAATATTCTTACCTGAAATTTGAGGAGGAATAGATGAGGATATTCTTGTTGTAGCAATGATAGTTGAATCCATAGTCTAACTCACAAAGAAATAAGGATATCTAAATATAACAATCAGCTGATCATAAATCTATAAATTAAATTAAACTATTAGAGTTTACTTTTCCTACTGACACAGCTAAGGGATTTTTCCAAGTAATTTATAGCTTCATTATATCATCATTGAACTCAGTTATATTCCAGCTGCTAATACCTGATTGAAGCTTTTTATCATTGACTCCAGTTGTAGTCTCATTATCGTTTGAGTTATCAGCATAACTTAAAATCAGTGCTTTAGAATCCATCATTTGCTTTAAACTAGCTATTTATAAAAGTTTCTAACTAAATTTTATCGTAACTGCTCCTGCTATATCAATTTATTCAATTTTAGCTTGTAATTTCGTATTCAATTTCTTTTTGTTTAGAGTAATATTTTTTATAGTGATGCTCTCAAAGTCTTCATGAAATATTTATTATTACAGAATAGATGTCTTTTCATCAAGATGTGTTTTTTCATCGTAGATAATAGTATTCTTAGTTATTAGCAATAGAAATTAAAAGCTATACTCTTTTTTATTAGAAAGTTGAGCTTTAATTACTAATTGATAAGTGCCAACCATATTGCCCAACTTCAATTCATTCTCATTGATAGATATTATTCTTTCATTTGCAGAAAAATCTATGCCATTCACTGGAAGTTCTTTATTTTCCAACCATATTTAGTAGTTTGAAAATTTACATTTACTTATAGTAGACATCCATTCTTGAATTTGGAATTTATCTTTTTGTGCTTCTGATGAATCAATTTGAAAGCTAATTTAAGGTAATGCTGGCTAATATTTTAAAGTAGCATTGGAACAGTTTAAAGTATCAAAGAAAAAATAGATTAACTAAGCTCATTATTGTCTTTATCATAATAGCCAATAACCTCAACTATAATAGGTTAGCAATTTTAAAGGATGGTATCATTTAGCTTGAATATTGATGACAAATAAAAAGAGACATCTTGCTTATTTAGTGCATAAGTTAATCTAATTTAGGGGTTTACTGGCTAGACATTTAGATAGGCACATCTGTATATTATAGTATATGTGAATCTTGTTTAATTTGCTTGCCCAAAGGTATTAATTCCTTCTAGAATAAGATTCTATGTTCTTTAAGAATAATTTGCATCTTCTAAATTTCTTGTTTCCATTCTGATATTAGTTGAAATGCTTTCACCCACTCTAATATCCAGCCATATTCCTATTGTGTAAGCAGACTTCCAGGGATTATCTTAATACATGTAATACTTTACAATACCACATTCTGGAGAAGTTTGGATAAAAGCTGGAAAATAGTATTTGATCTATGGCTCATATAAGTAATACTCTAAATTTCCAAGGGTGGTAGCTAAAAGCATATTTTCACTGCAGTTAACGCTTGACATTGTTAAAAAAAAGTATGTAGATACAGCTTAGTAGCTATTATAACCTAATATATAAACAATATATGTTTTTGCCTATCATATGTCAGCAGTAAATACAGAAATTTCTTTTCCTTCCATTGAAATCAAGTCTGGTCTGGAAAAATTTCTGCCTTTACTATCAGCGAGTTTATATTAGAATTTGGGGCAAATATCTGGCCATCCTTAAGGATAATCATATCTTTCAAAAACTTCGGGCACTGTATTATTTGATCTAATTTTATAATAATAATCAAGTACAGAAAATTTTTCTGTAGGTTCTATGCTGCATGAGTGCTAAACAATAACAGCAAATTTAACACTTATATTCAGAGGGGAATCCAAGATTCCAATCCACAAGGTGAAATTATAAATGTTTTTTTCATTCAAATCTGTGTAAATATCAAAGGTTCTGGTCAGGTTATCAAATTAGAGTAAGCTAGCAGGAGGTTAATGCCGTTCTAATTCATAGTATAGATAAGGTTGACAGAAACTCTTTTGAGCTAGAAATTCATCAAACTAGTAAGTGATCCTCTCAGTCAAGTTAAACTAGTATAAAAATTCTTCATTGATGGGAGACTATTGAATAATGTCTACATTATGGCATTCAGATAAGATCAAAATGTAGAAGAAAGTTCTGTATTGAAAGTCATTTAGCTAGAAAATAGAGTATAAATAATTGAATTTGATGTATTTCCTATCAGTTGCTTCTATTACTATTACTTAATCTGATTCATAGAATTTAAATGGTTCAGACGTTTCGTTCAAAGGTGTTTATATTTTATATCTATAATATATCTACTATTGCGAAGAAAGATTTCTTTTTTATCCTTCCAAGGTAAATTATTAGCTTATGATCATATTTATTGGCCCATTGTTTAAATAATAGGTATATCCACCTCTGAAAAAGTCAAATGTAATCTTTGCATAAGGATAATTAGTAATAATAGAGTTTACATCAGCCAAATTTAATTAATATGGTCTTACTACTAGTGATTAAATTCTTTGAGAAGAATATATACTTTCACTTGTAACAGACAGTGCCTTTTAATTGTCTAAGTTTAAGTAACTGTCTATCTGTTCTGAAGTATATACTACTCCTCTATAAGTATCAAAATATCTGAATTAAATATCACGCTATAATTTTAAAAGTTTGCCTACAAGATATACTTCATTTGATTATGAGTAGAATTTCGCTGAGTTTATAATTGTTGCCTCACTCTACAATAGGTAAGGAAAGTATTAAGTTGTGCTAATCGATACATCATCAAATGTAATTAAAGACATATAAAAAAACTCTTCCAATCCTTGAAATATTGAATAAACTCTTGTTGATGAATCAATTCTCAAATCGAAAAGTTACTTAACTTGATTAATTGTACTAGAATAAAATATTAAGAGAAATTGAGTTTTTAAATTACAAAAATTGTTCTGTAATTATGCTCTCAGTTTAATCAAAGTTTACACACCAAATCAAAATATCTTAGTTTGATGTTTGCATTCCACCAGATACGATTAAGTGAGTACTATCAGATACATTCAAAAAATATCTAGTCTTAGATTCTGGCTGAACATCGCATTAATCTGAAGTGAATTGATTCATTTAAAAGGAATATCCTCCTAATGATGATAGATCATTATTTAACTACAAAATTAATAAGGAAAATAATTTGTTTTGATTACTTGCTAAAGTATAGTTGTAATCTTGTCTTCATAGCAGGAAATGCCAATTGTTTGAAAACTCAGTTCAATTGAAATAACTTCATCAATTCGAGATATTTCAGTTTATTCTACTTCGAACTTTCTCAGGTTTATCTAATATTAGTTTGAAATCTTAATATAACTTAATCCCATTTGGTAATCATATTGAGTAGGGAACATTATCACAGGTTCTCCATCTATTGATGTGTAAATTAGTGGCACAATATTATTCAAGATTAGTTAAAGTTAAGGATTAATTTTAATAGCTATTAAGTCACCTGTGTTGGCATCTTATCTTATTATGAAATTTAATACTTTATTAACACTTCCCAGAAGTACAAAAATTGTAGAATCCTCAACAAAGATAATTCCCTATGGCTAAGCTTAGATATTATCAATTTATTTTCTGAATCTAATATATCCTTAATTAGCTTCCTTAACAACTATAAAGGGAATATTTTATTAATCTGAGCTGCCTGCTATAGCGAAATTTCCATTATTATCATAGTCTATGACGTGTATTTAAGTTTCTGAATTGTCATCTCCAAAATAAATTGGATAAGAAATTAGCAAACATTATTCATCCTCAAGTTAGCTTGAAACTTGTAACCTAAAATATAAGTAATTACTTATAATTATTAATACACATAGAGGAGTGCAAGTAAAATTATGGCCGATATTTTCATATTATTAATATTGATTATTTTTTCATTATTTAGTAGTTCAATTTAGCAAATATTCATAATGCTTAATTTACTTTATTATAATTTGATCTAATGAATTTTATAATCTTAACATAAACTTTCTATAACTTGAATAGATTAAGTTTTTGGGGTTTTGGGGTTTTGGGG